ACGCCAGATGTCTGATGGCTTCGGAGACTGTGCTCACCTGGGCGTCGACTGATTTTTTTGAGGTCTGGAAATCCTTTAGGTCACCAACCGACCGGACATAGAGCATGTTGTCCAAGAGCGTCCTGTTTGCTGCTCCTTTTCTTCCACCATCCGCGCCAACTCCCTCTCTCCTTGCCTTCAAGTTGCGGACCAGGGCGGCACAGAACGCCACCATAGGACGGACCTGTGGATTGCAGTTCGCTTGAGTCCGAGGGAGATCGAATCGCAAAGGGATAATTCGTTTCGAGCCAAGTTCAGAAGTCACCGGTGGTGTATCAGTTTTGTGCAGAAATTCGGCTGCTTGGCAATTGTCATTTTCGGGCGCGTTTGCCGGCCCAATAAGCTGAAGAATAAGCTGATTCATCAAAAACAACTGATTCTGCTCATTTTTGGTTGTCTCTCCCACATTTGTTCTTTGTTTTATATGATGCAGTCTAATTTTAGTCAATGGTGGTAACCACACCAAGCTGAAGATAACTATGCACTAAACTGCCCACACAAACTAGGCAGTCATGATTTGTTACACTGTGTCCTCTGCCACCTAATCAGTGATTCCAGATTATTTCATTCACTGTGTTTTATGGGCATGTAGGTATGTTTGGTCAGGCCTATCTACCTTGGGTAAATATTAAACATTGGGTACCGTTCCGAATGGGCACTCATACTCACGTACTCAATTTAAGCTCTCACCTTGGAGCCATGATTCCCACCTTCCACCTGCACCAAAGCTTGATTTTTAAGGACAATTGGCAACCCTTTGTGCTTAGTGTTCATATGCCTCTTCAAGTTTCTTCTTTCCCCATTAAAATCACAGTTCACGTGCCCACAGCGCACTTTCATACGTGATGGATGGTTACCTATGCCTGGCAACTGGACATACAGGCAAAGCTTCAACGCAGAAGGCCCGAGGCTATAAAGAGACAAACACAAATATCCCCAGCTAATCGAAAAGTGCGATATATGTTTGTTAAAACACCCAAAACTACGCGTAACCAGTATGCACGTAGTGAACGCTCCCGACACAACAGATCGCGACGCCGACTAAGCACCAACACGCGTCAGATATGTAACGCGGCGAATGGCGCTGAAAAAAGGACTGCTCAGGGAGACAGGCGGTAAAGGTTAAAATCGCTCCGAAACTTGTGCAAGACAGACCCTTATAGAAATTAGCCCTGTCTCGCCGGGTGATACCTTCTGGCCACTAGTGTCTGTCTCCTTACTGATAAGGAAACCAATGCTAAATTCAACGTCGTCGTGTATGATGCTATTGTTGTCGTCTATAACTCAACAGCAAAATTGTTTTATCGTTGGAAAATGGAAAACTGGCCTAGCAAGAAAACAGTTGCAGTCTGTGCGGGTGGCTCCTGGGCAGTTTGATCCTCATATTTTCTGTCTCCCACCCTGGTAGTCAAGCGAGCAGGTTTTTTCACCTCCGAAACTCAGGGCGAAATGGCCCACAACATATACCAAATTCATCGACAGTCAAATTGTAGCAATGCAGTACCGACGTGCTCATTTAGTCTAATCCTTGAACACAACAATTTAAGGTCGACAATCCAGTTCACAAAATGACGTTTGTCAAACACCCAAGTGATACACATGCGTGAGGTGAGAACAACTGAGTGCTATCCAGTGAAGTTTTGCTTTATGGACTTACCATCCTCATGTAAAGCCACACCCATCCTCATGCAAAGCCGCACTTCATAGTATGCATTCACGGCCCTAAAAAGTGGTGTGGACGGAGCGGTGCATCACAAAATTGACACATGATTAACAAATTAATTTTTACCTACCTTCCAGCCATCCTTGCCAGCGATAAGGTTTCCTGCAGCGGCAGCTACCACTAGCCTCCAAATACTCAAGCAAAGCCGCTAGCAGGACTGCACAATAGCGTCTGGCAAACTCAAAACGTTTTGCTCACCTTTTTCTACCCACCTTTACCCATCCTTTTACCCACCTTGCCCACCTACCTTATCCACTTAAAGCGTCTGTCGCAAACGCGCCATAATCATATCAAGGGCAGGTAAATCATGAACGTCTTGGTTTTTCTTTTATCTGCGCCCCATGTCGGCACCTACAGAGTGTATGAACCGTAACACGCCAGCTCGCCTCCCACGCCACCGCCTCTTCGCCTCCCGTCACGGCCACCGAGGCGTGTTGAACGGGAGCAAACAAGAAGGCTGGGTGCCAACGAACCGGCCGCCACTCGACTGCGCAACCGCCTCGCTGAAGACACAGCCCAGGCGCGCCGTCAGTAATTCATGCAATTTACAAACGCTTTGCTTCATTGGAGCAAAAGACACGAGTTGTCCGTTCGTCTAGAAACGACTTAGTAAAGTGATGTGATTCGTACATCAGTATTTGTGCTTATGACAAGCATGATGTTGACCTGGGTTGACCCCAATGACCTATTATGAACTTGACGGGAGTTGACCTCGGTGACCCAATATGACCCTTGCATTACCAAGAAGTCGCCAGTGCTGCCGAAAACATTCCATTGCTGCAGATATGCCGGGGGCGCATCAACACCGATCCTCACGTACGGACGCTGTTTGCGTTGTAGACTTTGTTAGCCTGTATGTGACTTCACAATTTATCGTTCGATTTTCTTTCTATTTGCTTTAAACGGTGCGCCAGGGTTTCATTTGCACGCGAAAAGCAAAACACCTACAGCATTCACTCCGGAGATATTCACTACAAACGGGATGGGTCGTATCCCCCCCCCCCCCCCGCCCCTCTGCTGCCCGTGGTCAATGTGATGAGGATTAACCCCGATTATATAATCAGATTGTCACAAGAAGGCATCCATCGCTGCCCGTTCCAACTTGTCAGCGAGCTGGAGCGATGCGTAAGAGGCGCGTTACATGTTAGCCAGATGTGCCTCGTGTGTTTGCCGTCGATACGTATCAGAAACAAAGAATATGCTTTTATTTTCACTCCCTTTTGCTGGTCGCGTTGCCCATTGCTGTTGAGTTCATTTGGGCCCCGTTCTTGACACCTAGTGCGGTCCTAATGGAACGGTATGAGTCCCGAAATGTGTTTAGCAGATACAACTGCGATGTGCTGCTACATGGTCGCACTATCACTTCTGCGAAGGGCTGATCAATGTCCTGGAGACGTCTTGGCGTCAGCGTGGAAGCCGTCGCACAGAAGTCGCTAGCACAACGTCCGGAACTCGACAGAAAGAGGCATGGAAGTGGTACCGAGCTCGAGCCTACCGTTTTCGTTTTGGCCGTTAAGCTAAGCCTCAGAGTCGCTCTATCGTTATGGCATACGCTGAACGATGGTTTGGCCCGTTTTGGGCGCGTCTGCAGGTGGCTGGCCGAACGGTGTGTGGTACCTTAACTCGCCGCGCTGATTGGCCGAGCGATGTCTGACCCCGCAACTCGCTGCGCTGATTTACCGAGCGATGCGGGGCCCTCGTATCTCGCCGCACTGCTTGGCTGCACGGCGTAAGGCCCAGTAACTCGTCGGGCTCATTGGTCAACCGGTGTGGGGCCCGTCGCGGTGGTTGGCCGAGTGGTGTGAGGACCCCGTAACTCCTTGCGCTTATGGACGAGGTGATTTGAGACCCCGCAACCCGCCGCGCTGATGGGCCGAACGGCGTGAGGCCCTGTTACTCGTCGCGAGGATTGACCGGGTGATGTGGGGATCCCGCAACTTGCCAGGCTGGTTTGGCAAGCGCCGTGTCGGCCGCTTACCACCCTTTGCTGATCGCCCTCCCGTTGGAAATGGCCGGATTCCACGATTCCAGGAATCATTCAATATTACATGGTTGTGAGTGGATAACTTGGCTTCGCGGCGCTATGGCAGACAATAGTTTTTCTGGCATGATCGGTCAGTGATGCTGGCTTCTCTTTGGCTGGCGTGATTAAAGTTAAACGGGATGCGTTCCCACCTCTGAAGAGGTCCAGTCACGTTTTACAAATAACTTTGAGGGCAGCAATACAGCATTTGTCGACTTCTGTGCCTGCCAGTATTTCTGTACTCCGTTAGCTATCGTAAAAATGTATCGCACGTTGTCGTTGCCCCCCATTTCCCCGACACTGTCGTTGCTTGCACCTGGCTTGCACCGCGCCCTCTGCGATGCATTGTCACTGATCGCGGCGGTGCATTCGTGTGACAGGTTGTTTGAAATTAAGCTTCTCAGTTCAGGTTAGCAAATTTGCGACAAAAGTTGCGCGGGAGCTCATACGAAAACTTGCTGTCCATATGGCATTGGTATTTGCAAGGGCCCTGTGTGTTGACCAATGATGACAAATGTCGCAGCCACCACCAAGCGGTGGTGTCGGTGGGACGCGTTCGTTTTGTTCCGGCGGGGCCAATTGTTGGTTACCAGTTTGTTGCAGGATCCCCACGCCGACGCTCAGGTCAGAGCTGAGTTGACTTGCCGAGGGAACCACCGGAGAATCGCCACTGCCGTTGTTCGCTGCGTGTGTACAACAACTGGACGGATCAGTTAAAACTTTGCTTGCCAGCAGCAGGCATGACGGGTCTGCTTTGCGAAATACGTTCCTTTCTGAAAAGTTTCTTGCTGCAATATCTGTCTCCTCCCCCATTGACATCCGTCCGTCACGTGCAGGCATTTTGGTCGTCTATTGTTGCGTCTGCGCTGGGCCCGGTTTTTCACGATCGCCTGTACTTGGGGTACATTCGCTAAGCTTGCTTTTGTGTTTTCAGAGATCGGCGTTGCAGTAGGCAGGCAGGCGGTTGCCGCGTTCCTTGCGATACCAAGCCGTTTCTAATGTAACCCGCTGACTCAGAAGTGTTTGCCACCAGCTAGCCGCCACCACATGCGAGATGCGCCTCTTTGCAGAGCGGCCGTTGCGTTGCGTGGCGGGGCTCGGCGTTGCTTGCTTTGTTTCGGGCTGCCAGCCGCGGGGTGCTCGCTTGCGTTGCAGACTGCGTTTTCGGGGCTGGCGACTGACGGCCGGCGGCCGCTTTCTCTTTCTCGGCGGTAGGAGCGCACCATGGAGGATGAGATTCAGGCCGGCGAGGACGGCCTCTACTGCGTCGGCTTCAAAAACGTGTATGCGCTGACGCGCGATGAGATCTTGGAGGCGCTGTCGCAGTACGGCCGCACGCGCTCCGTGCGCGGCTCGTGCGACGGTCTCAAGCGCAGCTGGACGTTTGTGCGTTTCTCCAACCCGGAGGAGGCGGTGCGCGCCATCACGGGCCTTCGCTCCTCGCCGCACCTCTGTGACGTCAACTACGTGAAGTACGTGCAGGACCGGCTCCCGCCGGCCAGCCAGGCGGGCGTATCGCCGCTGGTGCGCGCCGAGCCGGTGCCGGAGCTCTCGCCGGTGCGGCCGCCGGCGCCGGCCGCGGCGCCGCCCACCGGCACCCGGCACGGCCACCACGAGGTTTTCATCGGCAACTGGCCGCACGACCTCGAGCGCGACGACGTGTTCCAGCTGTGCGCCAAGTACAACGTCGATGCGGTGGACGTGCGCCTCTACAAGAAGGAGTTGAAGTGGTGAGTGCAGCGGAGACTGCGGGCCAGGCGCGTCAGCCTGGGTCATCTGTGCCCGGCCGGCCCCACCCCCGCGCGGAGCCACCGAGCACCGGAGCACTCGTGCCCTAGTGCAACTCGTGCCGGGTGTGATATGTCCGTGTGACACGCGAACGGGTGGTGCGGCGTGCGTTGCCTGGACAGACTAATGCTGGTGACCTCAGCCCGCGGTGGCCGGTCGTGCCGACGCTGTAGCAGCTGGCAGACGGTGTGCCGCATTGTGTCGGACGGCCGTGACCCGTGCTGACCCGATGGACCCTGTGCGGCGGCAGCTATGCGTTCGTGGTGGTCTCCAGCGCCGAGGACGTGCGCCGAGCCATCGAGCTGCTCGACGGCGGCAAGGTGGCCGGACGGCAGATCGTGGTCAAGGATTCACGCAACAGCCTCGGTAAGCGGCGGCCGGCCGGCGGGCCAGCGCCCCATCCACCCGCTGCTCCCTGGCGTGAACACTGCCGGCTCCGTCCGCCCGGCGTACCAGACGCGCCAGGCAGGCGGCATACCAGCCGGCCCCGGATCTCAGGCCTAGCTTCTTGTTGTTTTTTTCTCGAAGTTATTTCTTTGTTTTTATTTTCAGTCACGTGTTCACGATTGTCGCTGACGTAAGCGTTTACGCATGAATGAGCCGAGCGTATGTATTCCTGACTCATAGTTGATTTTGAATATGAACGCACGTAAGAAGCTTGTTTATGCTAGTATTCTTGAATGGTGTATTTTAACGCAGTAGGGTTGCTGGATGGTTTGGATACATGAACTGGACAAACGAAAACACCGAAATAACAAACGTCTTAAAAACTGCAAACTAGCTTCCGAGAAAGCTGCGATACTCCATGACTCGCCCGCCACAAATCCGCCCTGAGCCAGCCTGTAGTGTTAGAGGCGCTAGGATGTCTGTCTATGCTATAGATTTTCCCTTGGATCGCGCAATTTTTCAAAAGAACTTAAGCAACATTTACTCATGTGGCTTGGCTTGATTCTGGAGGTGGAGTTGATATGCCCTGTACATTTATGCTCGGATACTTTTGCATAATACCCATACTTCTGTGTAGCTTCCATATCACACGTCAGTGTCCAATCAGTCAGGTGGATACACATGTCCAGGACGAACCCGTTGGACCGTATATGAGCCAGCCTGACCTGGAATTGTAGTCGCGTCTGTGAAAAGTCGGTAAGAACGCATCTAGGCTGTAACGAACGCCCTAATGTACCCACTGCAGGTGCACTGAGTCGTCTGTGGCACTGTTGGTTGCATAGTCGCACACGGGCAGGATGATAACGGACGTGTAGTTTAGACGAAATTTCGAGAGGGTGTAACATTCGACCCAATACGTGATGTCATTGACAGCCCACGTGGCAGTAACTCGTCGGGAATCAGGGCGTTACGATACATGGGCATATTTTACTGGTGGAATCAGTCCAATGGGTTGACAGGTTCGTGGTTATCTGATTCGCCTAGCTGTCGTCTGGAACTGAGACGCTTTATTCGCAATGTCCCCTCTTACAGGGTAGTTTGTTCTGTCTTGCAGCCGTTGATCGCGCAGGGAAACGATTGTATTCTGTTGGATCCCAAACCAGCCAAGCCAAGTTTAGGTCATTGCAGTCGTGGATTTGGAGTAAACACTGGTTCTGCACTGGTCCTGGTCAATAATTTAACAAAGGCTTGAATGTCCGCCTAAAATACTGTTTTTTTTTTTGGCCAAAAAATAGCTCGCCAACCTTGAAGCGAGCTCGGTGATTGTGGTCGCCGCCTATTTGGCTGCCGCCGTGATACGTCATGCGCACGTGTCTCACCCCACTCAGGGGTCGCATCAGCCACCGGCCGGCCGGCCGACCTGGCGCCGGAACCGCCGCTCTAATCGCCCGTCTCCCGCCCGCAGCCAAGCAGGAGCCGGCAGCGCAGCCACAGGAGCAGAAGCCGGTGCCGCGCCCGGCGCCGACCGGCGTGCGCCAGCGGCTGGGCGGCGCCGGCTGGCGGGGCGGCCGTGGCGCCGGCGCCGGCGGCCCGCCCTTCCCGCGACCCGCGCCCGCCGTCGCGGCCACAGCCCGCATCCCGCCGCTGGTGATGCCCGGCCCTGAACCGATGCCGCCGCCGCCGTCGCTGGACGGCCGGTATGCGGCCGGCCGCGGCGCCGGTGGCTTCCTGCGCGGCGGCTTCCGCGGGCCGGCCGGCGGCCAGTTTCGTCCGGGGCCCGCGCTGTTCCAGGGCGCCGGCCGCACCAACGGCGCCGGCGGCGAGTTTGACGGCGCGGCCGGCCACTTCGACGGACCGCCACCCCATTTCGAGGGCGCTCAGCACCACCAGCTGGACGGGCCGGCCGGCCAGTTTGATGGCGCCGATGGCCGATTTGGGGGCGCCAGAGGTCCGTTCCAGGGTGCCGCCGGGCCGCGCGGTCGCCCGGTCGGTCCCGGCGCACGGCGCAGCTTCAGCCAGCGGTGAGCGGGCGCGAGGGAAGCGGTCGGCCATCGTCGCCGTCCGTTCCCGGTGTACAGATGACTGTTCCGCTGCGTGTCTGCCGCAGCCCGCTCGATGCGAGTAGCGAGCCCAGTGCCGGCCTGTGTCATCCCATGTGACACAGCATCAGAGCGGAGTTACCGCTGAAGTCACCTCATGCCCGCCACACACGTCTCCGAGCATCCCCAGCCGCCGCGACACTGGTGGGTCGCATGTCCCGCGCGTCGCGGCCGCCTCGCTGACGCCCGGCCGCCGACAGGGCTGAGCTGGAGGGCGACTTTGACGAGCCGTTCGTCAAGCGCGGCCGGTTCGACGACGGCGAGCGGGCCGAGTTCCTGGCGGGCGCGGAGACGGGGGCTGACCTGCTGTCGGGCCCGCCGCCGCTGGCCGGCCTCAGTCGTACGGTCGCTCTGGCGCCGATGGGGCGCGGCGCATGTGAGTCCCATTGTCCGCCTCGCGCCGCGCTGGGTTGCTGGTGGGTCCACAGCTCCCTCCAGCTCTTCGTGGTTCAAGTGGGATTAACACCACTGGCTATGTTTTCTCTATGTTTATGTTGTGTGTTTTCTCGATATTCTCTCTAAGTCAACTTACTCAATGGTTTGTGTCATGTCATTAATGTTCGCTATATGTGCTGCCTCTGGCTGTACGTACTTCCGAGAGCTGTTTACGTTTTGGTCACCAGGTCATGCCGCCGGTTGCAGTGCTGCGCTGACGTACGTGTGCTTGGTGCGTGCGTGTCTCGATGGCCTGCGACACTGGCGTGCGGCTGCGACCCCAGTCGTCGCCGCGTCGCCGCGTCGCCTCGGTGTGGTGACGTGTCGTGGTTGACCCCAGTCGTCGCCTCGGTGTGGTGACGTGTCGTCGCCTGGTGTGGTGACGTGTCGTGGTTGACCCCAGTCGTCGCCTCGGTGTGGTGACGTGCCGTGGTTGACCCCAGTCGTCGCCTCGGTGTGGTGACGTGTCGTGGTTGACCCCAGTCGTCGCCTCGGTGTGGTGACGTGTCGTGGTTGACCCCAGTCGTCGCCTCGGTGTGGTGACGTGTCGTGGTTGACCCCGGTCGTCGCCGCGGTGTGGTGACGTGTCGTGGTTGACCCCAGTCGTCGCCTCGGTGTGGTGACGTGTCGTGATTGACCCCAGTCGTCGCCTCGGTGTGGTGACGTGTCGTGGTTGACCCCAGTCGTCGCCGCGTCGCCGCGTCGCCTCGGTGTGGTGACGTATCGTGGTTGACTGCGGCCAGTGACGCCCGCCGGCCGCACGACGGGCGCCATCTCGGACCGCATCAAGAGTCGCCTGCACGCGCCCATGGACGTGGTGGTGGCCAACTTCCCGGTGGGCACCAACGAGCACGACCTGTTTGCCATGTTCCGCAAGTTCGAGCCGCTGAACGTGCGCATCATGGTGAACAATTCGAGCCAGCATCCGGACGACTTGTGAGTGGTCGGCACTGAGCCGGAGTTCCGCGCCCGTCCACGGCGGCCGATCGAGCGGCCGCCTCTCCCCGGCCGCCTCTCCCCGGCCGCCGCCACGGCAGCCGCCGGGCTCAGGCGCGCAGTATGCAGTTGACGGGTACCGGTGTGGTAACTGAGCTTTTGAGCTCAATCGGATTATAAAGAGTCCACCAGAACGTTGTGAGGTGAAGAGCGCTGTCGATTTATTTCGCGCAGTCGTGCAAAACAGTTGGTTATATTTAAAGCAGTTCTTCGGTGTATCGACAGTAAAAGACAGGTGGCATTGCGGGAGCTTCTGGCTTCCTTTCCGTAAATAGAGAAAAAATTAGATATCGGAAGAGAACATTCTTTAGTTAAGAAGTTGACCGTTTCCGGCCTTTTTGTGGGCCGTCCAGTATCAAAGAGCCCTTTGTCAACCCAGTGCCCTTCCCTCGCCAAGGCTGCGGCTACGCGCCTGTGCTGGACTCTGTGCTTGCCCGGCCTGAAGTGTGTGTTGCTCAGGATGCGAACTATCACGTACTGCAACGAAGCCTTGTCAGGCATAGTCAGGGGCAATGCCGAGCATGGGCTGCGAGCCGTGTCCAACGTCCCCTGTTCGTCCCACGTGTGGGGTCTCGTCGGCCGGCCACTGGTGCCCTGCCCACCCTTGACACCCTTGCCGTCTGTGTCCGCAGCACGTACGCCTACGTGACAGTGTCCAGCCGGATGGCGGCCGACGAGGCCGTCATGGAGATGGACGGCTTGACCTTCCAGGGTCGCCCGCTGGTGGTGGAGACCAGGAAGAACTAGCGGCCGCCGCGTCGCACCACAGCGGTCGCCGCGCCGCTCCCCATGGCAGCAGCGCCGTGGCCTCATCCCATGGCAGCGGCGCGCTCTCAGCCCGGCCGCCGTCGCTGCCGGATCCATCTCATTTATCTGACAAAGTGCCGGCCAGCCGGCGTCTGCCGCGATTTTCTGTTGTACGCACAGCTGGCCCACTGTCGCAGGAAGGTGGAGCGCGGGAGGAGCGCATTTTGGCCAGCTGTGCCCCGCTCTCAAACTTGGGACTGAATACACGGCATTGGCGTACGAGGTCCGTTGTTTCGCTGGAAGTCGGTTGCGGAGGGTCGGTCGGCGTGCATGATCACGCCAATACGGCGTGCAATGACACTAAAGACCGAGCACGCAACGTGAAATCCTGCCGATACTGCCGAAAGCATACTGCATGGTGTGAAATCAATGCAGTACCAAAACAACTTTGCTAGAAATTACCTCTAGTTGGAGGCTGGTCAAGATATGTCGAAAGCTAGTCGGGACTTGTTTATCAGATAGATTTCACGTGTTCGCATCAGGGGTGACAAAACTGTCATGGTTAGCCGTTACGCGGCCTCAGTTTTTGCGGTGGTGTGGTCCCCACGCTATGCTTCTTTCATGTCTGCAAGCAGATGACTTCGTGAAATTGAGCGTGCTGGCCGGCTACAGATCAGTAGACCGAGGCTTCGTCCCGCTCCGATGGACTTCGCACCAGTCTAGTTCACAGCACGTTGGGCTTATTTGTACTCTTGAGTTCGTACGCGGCGCTGTGCTGAAGCGACGCCTTACCCCTGATATGATGCGATGCAATACAACACAATGTAGAAACGATGCTGAGGTGCTGTAGGCATCGAGCTAAACGTGATGAAGCCAAAGCTCCTCACTGGCCACGGATCTCACACAGAAGCAGTCTTGCAGGATGTCAATTGGTCTCACGTGCGCCACACATGGCCTGTTGTGCGGTGGAGACAGACCTCACCGTCACGGTTGTGACGCGCCGTTGTGTGCCGCGTTGTTCACGCAGGATCGGAGTTCACCGAAAGTAGCGGTTTCCTTATTTTGGACGAGAAACCTCATTTCTTGAAACTTCTGATATCACTGGCAGCGATTCTTGCGTGCCAGGGGTCAGCTGGTGGTATTGCTGGTAGACATCGTATTTAACTATAACCATATTTATCAATTATTCACACACCGTGCCGGTTATTCGACACTGCGCGCTCATATTTTCACCAATTAATTAGGTTTTGCGCGCGCTTTAAGAAAAGAGAAAAAGTTGTCGCACTTCAAAGCCCGAATCATTACCACAAATGCACACAGCGCGGGAAATAGCACTTACGAAACGCTCAGGTATCTGATGTGTTGAAGACAGGTGAAAGCGTTCAGACTGGAGTGAACCGCTTACGGTTCATCACGTCATCCAGTCATGCCGGCACCTCGGTGACGAGCGGCAGCATCATTTCGGGCGGTACGCCCCGCCACGGAGGTGCCGTGTTGAGGGATTTTCGGGCGTGACAACACGGACAAATTTTTCGCATCCCTCAAGCCAATAGGAGCCTAGGAGCCTAGGAGCCCTAGGAGCCTCAAGCCAACAGGTAGATCTACATATATATATATATATATATATATATATACATATATATATACATATATATGTATATATATACATATATACATATACGTATATGTACATATAGGTATATCTATACACACACACACACACACACACACACATATATATATATATATGCATTTTCTTATTCATTTATATAATAAATACGGAAACCCATTTTACCGTGCACAGCCTTGTAAAGCTACGCGTGCTACGCATGCATACGCCTAAAGCTCACTCATTTTCAACACGCCACGTCAAGTGCTGTGATTTTGACGCTAAGTGTTTCGGAACAACAGACAAAATAGAATTGAGTTGACTGCTAACAAGCACCAAAACGAAGTATGGGCTTAATTCCCAATTTATGTATTTACGGCCAGCCGGCTGTGCGATGTAATCAGCTGATGGCTGATGACTAATGCATAATTTTCCTTTGTTATAAAGGAGTACAACATATCCTAGCATTTAAAATATGTTAAGAACGTGATGCACTAGTATAGTAAGTGTAACACAATCAATAGCCAATGGAAATGACACATACGACGTCGGCGGCACGTCAAATTACGTTCGGCAACTGCGCGCAAATATTCATCGGCGCATATCCGCCTGCTGCTCTAAGGCGAAGGCACCAGGGCTAATAGGGGCGGAACCTGAGCGATCATGGGTGCCGCAGGAGGCCAACAAAGTGGCTCTCGTCAACAAGTATAGGGTCCTCAGAGCAAGTGAAAGAGACCCAAGACCAACGTGGTGGCCCCTAAACAATGGTTAGTGCCTCGGCAGGCTGACATATAGGCCCCGGCCATAGCGCAGGGCCCTTTGAGCAAATGGGAATTATCGAAGATAATAAATTAATACCCCTGTGCGATCAAGAGTGCACGGGCTGGTTAACAAGATTAGCCTCGGTAGGAGTGAAGAGTCCTCCGCAAATGAGACCAAAGAGAGCACTCAATCAAAATAGAGGGTCCCTGGGCTTCGATTGTCTCCCTGCCTTACCTTATAGGAGCCCTAGCAACAGCACAAGGCCCTCCAAGCCAGTCGAAAAAACCCGAGACTTTTATGAAGGGCCCCTGAGCAGCTGAGTGTACCCTGGCTATGGGGCCCGGAAAAAAGTGTATGGAGCCTTTCGGGCGAATGGGAAGAATCCGTGGAGGAAAACCTGATCGATGAACAGTGCTCAGGCATGGAGGCAGATAGCATCCCAACAGCACATTGGGCCCTATGAGAAAATGCAGAGATCAAGGGCACCGTGGAGAGCTCATTAGCGATCAGATCGACCCGGCGAGTGGACAAATGAGGCCAGGCAACAACGGCGTAATGTCTCTAGACAGCGTAATGAGCCACACAATTTCCCCAAACACTTTTTCGATCAGCGAAGAATAAACTTCGTTTGCTTATTTGCTAGAAATGGTTCTCGGTCGCCTGTATGCTCAAAGGCATCCAATTTTATTGTGTTTTTGTTGTAAGAAAACTGCATCCGTCCGGCCAGTTATAGACCCCTTCGGAGCCTTTAGGTCACCTCGGCATGGTCCATGGGCATAGTTCCGCGTCTCCCCCCCTCCCCCCCCCCCCCCCCCCCGACTCTCTGCATCCGCCGCCGGCTCGAGCAGCTGAATAGATGCGGCTCGCCAAGAAAGTAGGGCCATCCATTCAAATGAGACATGCTCACAACGCAATGTGTAGGGCTCTGAACGATAGAGTGCGCCCGAGCAGGTTAACATATAGGGCCTCCGTCAAGAGCGTAGGGCCCCCATTCAGATAGGAGGTACCCAAGACCCAATGTAGAGGGCCCCCAAATGATCGAGTGGACCCGAACAGGTTAACAGATAAGGTTCCCAAAAAGATCGCGGGGCTCTCCATTCAAATAGGAAGTATTCAAGATCTAATGCAGGAGGACCCCCGGATGATTCAGTGCGCCAGAGCAGGTCAACATGTAGGGCCCCCGTCAAGAGCGTAATGCCCGCCATGTCGACCAATCCACAAACAGTATGGAAAACTCCGCCTCGAAAAAAAGCCGGTTGATCCGGTTGACCCGCCGAGATGGCTTTGACGCGTCAATATCGTGTTAGCAGTTTGAAAGACAGAAGCTCGCTGATGCCCGTCGTTGTTATCGTAATTATGATATTTTGAAGGTATGGTGAGGAGATTTCCACACGATTCTCTTGTATTATGATTATTTATGGTGTCTTATTTACTACAGACATCAGTTGGTGAACAATTTAACAATTCAGCGTTAGGTACCAATGTGAACAATGACCGGCTTTAGGATTCCACCTCAGGCTGACCCCAATATGGGAGCTACTCGAGCCGAAAGTGGGCGTATCGCTGTGTGGCATTACGGAACAGGACATACTCCCAGGTCACTTCCGAGCCAAGGCTCTAGAACTCATTGGCTCATGTTCAGAACATCAGACTACTGACACGGATGGTTCTAATGTCTGCTGTCTGGTCGGCACTTTTATATGGCACCGCAGTTGAGACCTCATTACCAACACGCGCTTCGGTGTACACAACGAAACTGGCTGCTGCCATTAAGGCGCCCTCCTCTATTGAGGTTGGTGACAAGGCACAACACCTAATTTCATTTGACTTTAAGCAGCTGTTGGGTGCTCAAGAGGTTTTATTGGCAAAGTGCCTCCTTACAGCATATTCTAATGCGCCTTATTGACCTTGATGGAAAAACGATTGTACTCTCTGGATCCCCAGTCACGTGAGTGTTAAAGACAACGAGCTTGCCGAGGAGGCGGCGAAACGGGTGGTACACGCAACATGAAGACGATCTCTACCTCTGTCGAAAATAAATTTGTACCCACTCAAAACGGCTTACGTTAAAAGCAAATGGCAGCTTTGATGGAATGTCGAGGGAAATAACAGCATGACAGATGCATGACACGGTGCGGGAGCAGAGTGACTGCTGAAGTCGACGCGCACCCGAAACCCAATTATCATCGACCTCTCACGAAGAGTATATTTGGGATGCACGTATCCATATCCACTTGGAGTGCGGCATGCCAGGCTTGTCTGCATGCCCTGACTGGACATAGTTGTACCGTTGTATGTTTCAAGAGACCGTATGGTAGATTTCATCTCTTCATTGGTGCACAGACTAACAGTACGTACAAATAAGTAGCGTATATATATATATATATATATATATATATATATATATATATATATATATATATATACATCTCTGTGCCGGCGTAGCCATGTGAAAGCCTGGCCAAAAATGTGGAAACACAAAAACAGGTCGGTAGAAAAAACACAAACAAGCTGTCACACGATAAGTAGACACAATTCCTGTACACGAGCAAGTACCGCTAACGTCTCGCGCCACAGAACAGGTTATGTACGCAAATCTGACAGCTGAGGGCCTTTCAGCCGTCAAACC